TAATATGAATTCGTTGATTTCTCTTATTCTCATACTTATCGGTTACAAACATTCACTTTTTGGTCATTCAGTTTTGTGAACGGTAAGAAGAAAATTAACGGAAGTTCACTACCATTGTTGAGTCACTTATTAAAGGGTAGAAAAAGTCAATAAGAAGGTGATAAGTTATTTCATCTGATTGTTGTTATATTTAACAATGAATATCAAGAAAGTAAGAATGAAGGTAGCACCAATAATTCAATTCACTTTAGTTAGCATAACCAGATAATACAGAAAAGTGATGTGCTGAAACAAGGACATAGAAAACATTAGGAAGAAAAGAAGCCTAGAAGATATTATTCTTGAATAATTTGTATATAGTAAATGGTAGACAAAACAATTCAGAAGTCATCGTAATAAAGATGACAAATAAGCTTTTATTCAAAATGAATTCTGCTTGTTTATAGTTTATTCACTTAGTCCTTTATTAGTTGAGAGTGAAGGAAATAAAACAAGTGTTATGCCACATTATTTCACGTAAATCTAAAGAAAGAAGTAAACTTGCCTTGACTTTTCGTAAAAGATGCTTAAACTCTCTTATTCAACAAATCATGTAGTTGAAAAATTGGAAACATTCTAAAGCTAATCAATTTAAATGACACAGTATCTGTACAGACACCCTCATATGAAATGATACCTGATTAATGTAATTAAATAACAAATAAACCCGAACAGATATTTCGTCTGAAAATACAATAAAGCCAAATAAATCAGGAGAGATAAATTGTAGAAAGAAATTGAATTTGACAAGTAGATATTATTTTGGAATTACGTATCGAGTGAACACATCATAATTCAAAAGGTGAATTCATGAGTCGGTTGAAGCTAGACCACCATGGAAAACTTGAAAGCATTGGACGGTCGTTTCGTCCTTGTACGATACTCCTGTATCTGTACAGATATCCTCTTATGAAATGATACCTGATTAATGTAATAAAATAACAAATTAACGCGAACAGATATTCCGTCTGAAAATAAAATGAAACCAAATATATCAGTTAAGATAATTCAATTCAATCGGTGAATTGATGAGTCAATTGAAGCTAGACCACCATGGAAAACCAAAAAGCATTGGACGGTCGTTTTGTCTTAGTACGATACACCTCAGTAGTGCTCATCCACGATTCAATAAATAAAATACTTCTTTAATGTTATACAACAGAAACTAATTTATTTGCTGAATGCTTACCTTCAAATTTTGGGATAGATCATGTCAATATTCAAGTTCTTCATTTAATAAACAATCAGAAAATGATGACAAATTCGTGTGCATTTAGAGGAATGGTGGTCTAACAATGTAAAGTCTATTTATGGGTTTCATTATCCAGCTAATTTAGATTGTTCATTTCACATTTATTCGTTCCTACTTATATAAATCATTTTGGACAAAACTTACAGTTTAATGATCAGACATATTTGTATTGATCGACTATTTTCATCATTAATACTAGTGATAAGTTCTAAAAGTCACTTATTCTCAAATAAAGCGGCTAACGTGATTTATCCACCTGTCAGTAATTCATGTTATACCCATGAGAAAACCATCCATCATACCTGTGATGAAGTATTATAAACGTTACTGTCATGTCAGTGTTTGATAAAATTGAAAGATTAGCAAAAGAGTGACACTGACAGAAGAAAGAAAATACGTTAACTAATTTGTTATTATGTCCCGAGGATTAAATTGTTTGACTGTGAAGAACTTATTATCTGTCTGAACAATATTATCATCACCTAACACATGCACAGGTGAGCTTTCCATTTACACTATAGGTTAAACAAATCATGTTACAAAACTGTATTTACAATATCGTCAAATTTGAACAAAACATCTATAATGAATACTAGATTGACACTGATTTGCTGCAACTGTAAACCTTCAGATTTGTACAACACACGGAAGAAGATGATAAATAATGGACGAAGAATGTTTCATCCAACTATCAAAAGTACATCACCCAATCAATCAAAATACTCATCAATCGATTTTACTCATTATTTAGTTATTAACTAACGAATATCACACATAATGGAAATATCCGTCTACTTCGTTGTAGCTTAAAATGGCTTAGCCAGAAAAAATTATCCAGCCATAAAAGAATTCTCTGTAAACTAACTTATCTGTGGTTGGACATTTGTTAAAATCATATTCAGTTTGAGTCATTTTAAGCTCTTAACAACGACATTGTTGTCATTTCCTTAAATAGGAATTACTATTTTGTACCTTCACTTATTTTACTTTACTGTTGCCGTGTTTAGTAAAATTCTTATCATCACTAATATTGTCATCATTAGCATTTCAGGAAAAAAAATAAGCATGTGTTTGCTATTATAAAGTTTTCAAAATCAGTTCACTGAAAAAAGCACTCTTTACCGAACCAATTTTTTTTAATTTTATGTCTCAACGGGTATATCACGTTCGAATATATCACTTCTACTTCAACTTCCTGATGGCGATGTTTTTCAGAAGAATAATGGAAACGTTATGATTGATCCATCCAACTTAGAGAATGAAACTTTACCAAGTATCTATTGACATGTGTACACAAAAGTTTTAAAGAATAACATTTTAATAATAACAAAAGTTTTGAAAAGTGACCTTTCTTTGTATGTGCGTGTTGAATGATTCAAATATGCATTAATACTAATTTGTTTTGAAAATAATTTTTGTTAACCTTAGGAAAATGCTTAAATAGATTAACTGTTTACTGGCAATTCATCCACGCCCATCAATACAGTTTACTAGTGTAGTCTCAAATACTGCTCAATTATTGTGTTTCGAATGCTTTCTAGTAAATAAAGTGCTTTCATTATTTCATGTATGTATACTTAACACACTTGTGTAAAAATGCAGAATGTTTATCCGTTATCTTCGGTAAGCAAATCGTGGAGAAAACACTCTTTAAATGCTCCTTCTTGATATATCATTATAAGAATTTGGAAATTATAAACTATCAACCAACTGAAGTAGTCCAACTAAAATATCTCTTATCGGATTCCCATGTTAAAATTAAGCCTCATCTCTGTGTCTCTGTAAATTTATCCGCCACTGCAATGCAAAGGTACAGAAAACGTTGATGATATTAAATTCAACTTAGTATTGTTTGTTTGAATCTTCCCATCGATTTGTTAGGACTGCAACTGGTCAGTCTCTCTCGCTCGCTTCAAACGCCATCGCGTTATCCACTCGGCCACTGAGTCCTGATAGCCACTTGCTTGTGCGATGGGGTGAAGTTTAAATTCAACTTAGTATTGTTTGTTTGCAGGTACATCCAGCTGACGAGTCCCAAATAGGACGAAACGCGCGTCCTGGATTCCACTGCTAGTCACTATCCATCTCTGCTAACCATGCTTGTGAATTAAGGTATATCGAGGCAATACGCACAGTATGCACATATGCCAATTAGAGACTGACCAGTTGCAGTCCTAACAAATCGATGGGAAGATTCAAACAAACAATACTAGGTTGAATTTAAACTTCACCCCATCGCACAAGCAAGTGGCTATCAGGACTCAGTGGCCGAGTGGATAACGCGATGGCGTTTGAAGCGAGGGTACTGGGTTCGAATCCCAGAGTGAACATCAGCTCTGAGATGCAGGTACATCCAGCTGACGAGTCCCAAATAGGACGAAACGCGCGTCCTGGATTCCACTGCTAGCCACTATCCATCTCTGTTGATGATATTAGCTTGTAATCTAGAAAAAAATTTTTTACTTGACTTTACGAGGTAAATATTAAATTCTACTCCTAGAGGATTGAGTTATCGTTTTTACCGTTCGATCGTGGTGCATTTTTAGATATCCATAAATTTCTTCGTTATCAATCTGGAAAAATCTCTTAGAGTTCCATTTATTTGAGAAAGACAATCTGACAACTGTACAAAGAAGAATTACTTATTACTTTTATCTCTAACCCAATCTTAATATTTTAGTAGTATTTTCAGCTTCAAACTATTATGTTTTAAATCCGCTTCAAATGGTTTTGTCTATCCTTTCACTTAACCTCTATAGCATTTTTCTTTGCATGAATATAAAATTCAAAACTAATCAGACTGGTAAAAAAACTGTTCACGTTTAACTTGCTAAAACGCTTCCAATAGTGATGATGATGATGATGTTCAATCGTCAGGAAAAAATTCAAATATCTCCTGTGCTGTTAATCAGAAATATTTTGACTGTTTGCTACATGCTTGCGACCAACTCGAATATAAGCAAGAATCTTAAAAGTATACACTAAATGAATAATTTCCCTAAAAACTCATTCAAATAGATCTATTTATAGTATTGATACACAACAGGAATCATTGGCGAAAATATTTTATTGAATTCATGAGCCAGCGTCTAACGGCATTGATGTCTATCTCCGACCAATTCACGATATTGCTCGACTATATTCCATTGTCTTTCGGTGAGTAAATCCCTCACAGCGAAACACAGTTGAACTCTATTGATCACGGCTTTTCACTAAAACCTTCAGAATTACCTCTTGAAACTAATCAACAATCTCCACAAGCCAAACTGAAGATGTTTTTTTTCATACATGAATAACTATATAACAATGACAAACTGACATCTCTCAAAGGTCACTTGATGTACATTATTAAAAACCTGTCAATTAGGTGGCGAATATCTGTAGATATTTTTTAAACTAAAAGCCTAATAAAAGGCGTCCAGTGGTTGAAGATATTTCAAACATACGTAATCAATTGAGAGTGATTATTTTAATGCCTTGTGATAAGACAAAAACTTTTAAATGCTGCTATTCTAATATCGTTCAGTTGTTCACTATTAACTACTTGATTGAGTATGTTTTATGAGGACATTCAAAATAAATTTCTTCAAAGTCCAACTAATCGGTTAAAAAGTTGCAATAATTACAGTCCATTAAAACACTAATCTCACAAACTACGTAAATTGAAGATGATACGTGTTGAACACTTCTACTAGTGAAAAAGAACACGAACGGGGACAGTCGAATGTATTTGAGCACAAAATTACAGAATATCTCAGTGAAATATGAGAACCATATAGTATATAGTCAATTTGCAAACTATTAATCAATCATCTTAATCTTGACCGTTCCTTCTGCAAATATCAGTTCATCATCACCGATTATTATTGTTCATGCATTTTCATACCAGTCGCGTTTCGTCCCATTTTTTCCACATTCATCTACTAATGAAATACATTCAATGCCCGAGCATCGTTATACACTGCTTGTGTGGATACAAGTAACTCAAACCACACAAGTTCTATGATTGACAAATAAAATTGATTGGTATAAATAATCTGCTTCTGTTGTTAGGAGGTTGAAAGCAGTAGACTAAAAACACTGAACCAACATCTGATGATGATGTACATAAAGTTGAATCATTTAAACTAGTCCCCACATTCCAACATGATAGATGTAAATCACTCACAAACAATAAGAGAACATCATAGTGATTACTTCTTAGTGAATATTCATTCAAGTTTACTTCTGTTTTGATCCATTTCAAAGTGAAATGTTTCTGCTTTGATAATATATTGAACAAAATACGTATGTACATGAAGACTATCTACATCCTTTCAAAAGTACAATATGCTTAAATGCATTAACACATTCTTTATTGTAAAATCCATAAATAAATGGGTTAAAAATACTATTAAAATAACCTAACCAAGTAACTATGGTATATAATTCCTCTGAGAATGTACAATCACATAATGCTTCACTTAAGTAAAAAATAAAAAACGGTGTCCAACATACAATAAAACATCCTATAACTATAGTAACAGTTCGAACAGCTTTCTGTTCTTTATTAAATATAACTTTTTCACACAATTGACGTTGTGTTTTTACAGTCCTCTCAGGTTTTCTTTCACAAACAGATTTATTATGTAATGATGATCTATTTCTATGTTTATATAAATATTGATATTTTGAAATCATTCCATTGAAACATCCATTACTTGACGAATTATGTTTATTCAATAAACTTTCGTCTAAATAAGATTCATCAATTGCATCATGTTCTCTTATAGGTATATGAAATGTATACAAAGTTTTCAAGTTCTCATCAACAGGTTCTGGTTTATTAATTTCTAATTCATTAGATGTATCAAAATGAAAATTTATTTTATTTCTATGATAAATATCCTTACTATAAACACAATCATTTGTATACTGGTATGTATAAGAGAACGTATCTGTAACATCGATATTGTTATTGTGAATATCATTGAAATGAGGTAATGATATATCATTCTCAAGTTTTTTATTTCTTTGTATAAACCGTTTTGAAAAATGATCAGTGACTTTTAATTGATGTGATACTTTTACACAATTGAGTAATGGTATCAAACTAGAGTAATTAGTCCACCTTTCTTGTTTCCTTGAATCAATATTGAATGGATTGAATACTTTTGAACGTCTTCTAATGATATAAAATATTCTTAAATGCACATATGCAATCAAAATTATAGGAAGAAAGTATGCTAATACTGATGAATAGATTCTATACTCTTTACTATAACTTATATAACAACAACCTACTCCAGTTACATGTTTACTCATTCCAAGTATAGGTGGTAATATAGAAAAGCTTGGTATAATCCATGCTATAAGTATCATTATAATTGATAATGGGCGAGATTGTTTTGTAATATATTGGAATGGATAACTAATTGCAATATATCGGTCTATTGATATACAACATAAATTCAGTATAGAAGACATACACAAGAATATACCAGAGGATATATGAAATTGACATAACAATGTTGATTCAAATGGCCAATAACCAAGATTTTGACGTATAATTGCAAATGGTAAAACGAAAACCGATACAAGAAAATCAGCTAATGCTAAAGAAGCTATATATCGATCACATGTTCTTTTAAGTCTATTTCTAGTTGCTATCCATAATATAATAAAAAGATTACCTAAAAATATAATGACTGTAGCTAATGTTAAACAACTTGTTAAAATATTATTTGTAATTATCCAACTTGTATCATTTGAAATGAAAACGCAAGTTGAAATGGTTGTATGTTCTTGCAATACATAAGAATAATTGGTATTGTTTCTTATGAAATTCATTTCCAAGTTACTATGGTATGCAAATAATTGAATATGAGACTAATATCTCTTAATTTGTTCTTCACATATGTAACTATTTCTATCTGAAAGTATAATTTTCAAGCTATAAACATAATAATATTAGAGAAATAGTGATTGGTTTAAGTGTAACTGAAATATGTCAACAACCTGTACATGACCAAACATTTTAATCACTCAAAAAAATTATTTAATTGGTGACAAAACATTTCCATATGAGATTTGATTAGTTGAATTCTATGGAAAGAATTAAGTTTGGATTGGATATGGAATTTTTTATCATTTTTTATGTCAATCTTAGACTGACGTTATCACCATGGCTATTGTGAGTCTTGATGCTTGTTGATGAAAATTTAGAGGCATAACAATAAATAATTGATTCGTTAATTTGTACTTCAAAATATCTGCTCAGGTAATTAGGAACATATTTTGCGTTACTTTTATAAAATTCGTCAATTAGCTGTCAATAGTGGATTGTTGTATTCTGATTAGTTGAAAATTATCTGTCATTACCTGTTTTGATCGGAAGTCAGAATTTCCATTTTTACACATTTAGAATTTTATTATTTTAATAGAAGTCTATCTATCGTGAGACGTGAAATGACAATTTATGAACGAAGATTTCTACTAGTTTTATTTGAACGTCATATGATACAAATGGTTGTTCATCAACATTCAGATGAACTGTACCTTCGGTTTTCTTATTGATCACATAGAAACGGAACTTGATTTGTTTCATTATATCGATTGAGTTCTGCCAATTGTAGTAACAAGAGAAAATCGGTAAGCATTACATGAATATTACTTAGTGGTGAGACTGTGCATATCAATCAATGCAAACTTGACAAAACTGGTAACTATTTCTTGATTATGATGATAACTTACTTGTCGATAGATAAAGATTATTAACTACAAGAAAGATTATTGCAACTTAACGCTTTTAAATTCATATATACTATTCGCCATTTAATCATTGCAATGAAATATCTTATTTGAATGGACTTGTAAAAACTGTTATATTTGTTTAAACGTATAAAAAAATTACGATGGTAAGATAATGTAAACAGTATATTTATTTAGCTTAAAACATGTCAAATGTAACTTTGCTATGTCAATAATACTTTAGACTTTCGTAAATGAATAATAGCTTCAGAGAAATGAACAAAGAATATTTATTTGAAGATTAGTTTTGTAAATATTAGTGTTTAGTGAAGGTAAAGTTTATTTTACCACTTAAAATAGTTATGAAAATAGTCGAAATATTTTGTTCTCAAATATTACAGTCTGTAATCAAATAACTTGTTTTATGACTGAAATAATAAGTGAATTAAATGTTGGAAAAAATTGGAAAAACTGGAAGTAGTGGACGGCCGTTTCATCCTATTGTGGGACTCCTCAGAAGTGCTCATAATCGTGAGGCGGGATTGTCCAGTGCTTGCAGGTTTTCCATGGTGTTCTGGCTTCAATTGACTCATGATTTTGAGCTATAAAATTACTAAAATCTCCACGAAAATCCCCCTTCTAAAATATTTAGTTGTTTGGAATCTGAGAAAATTAATAACTTAGCTCAATGGAGAATTTATGTGTCTTTCAGAAGAACGATGAAAGCTCCACGACCAAATCATCTAACTCAGAGTAGAAAACTCCATCCAAGAAGAACTGTATGTGTTTTAGTGCAGGAGTAATAAATGTAATATTATGTCAGTGAGCTTTTTAAATAAATGCTATTGATTATAGTAACAACAAGCTTTTAAAAGAAAGTGGATTTATTCTGCTGTGGAAGTCATCAAACTTTAATAAATTTATTTTACGAAGGTTTCCAATGAAATGTTAGTATAATTTAAATGAATCGTCTTATAGGAATCAGTAAATCATACCAACCTTTTTAATGATGAATTAAATCTATATAATGAAATAATCAATTATTACATGGTATTTAATCTTTTTACTGAATTCCACTTGTTCATCTAGTTAACATAAAGTATAACTGAAAAGTTTAATTTATGTTATGCCGAACATCAGTAATCTGTGGAACTTGAGTTCCTTCAATTTTGCAACTGGACGCTAAAGATAATTATAAACAGTTAAGGATTTATTCATACAGAAAATATTGTTTTAAATGTTAACATTCATTCATATAAATGCACAGACTAGTTTTCATTTAGAATTATTCAAAACGTGAAAACTACCTTGCATGGATGTTTCAGTTTGAGGGTTGGTTTTTCTGCTCGATAAGTTTTTGTCGCGCTATATTTAATAAGCATGATTTGTGTTTATCATAAGTACTAATCACTTAAGCGTAACATTTAAGGTGGTTTGCCACATACATTATGAATATCTTAGATGAACACTGAATTCATAGTAAATGGATAATTAATATGATTTGAAGAGTCTGTGTTGTATAATAATTCTCACAACTACGTTAAATGAAATGTCCCATAAACCTTAACACGCTGTAGTGGAATGTTAAGGTGATAATGAAATTTGTGAAATATTGCTACTTTTACGTTGATAGATTTTATTTACTTATTAGGTAGATCCAAATTGGACAACAAGAACTATATCTTTCATTGGTCTAAGAGTACTGGAAACAAAGATACACGGAAATACCATTTCCCAACCAAAAAAATTTAATTTTCGGAGACAGTCCATCACTCCTTTTCTGAAAAAAATGTTTTCAAAAATTTCCTGTTAATCGTTTCATTAGTACTTATTAGTTTATTTTCTTCAGCCACTTCACATCAATACATAAGGAACTAGAACTCCGGTGTTTATGTGAAAATTCTCCACTACTCAAACATTTCAATCATGCCATACAATAAATGCAAAATTTAGTAAATTGCTAGATCTCGATGAGTAAATTACTAGTTAAGAAGTAGGGAATTATGGAAGAACCTGACACAAACAACTCCGGTCACTCTCCAGTGATCGATTAATTGTAAATGCCAAGTGAATAATGCTAACCATCGATAATCTAAGCTTCATAAACATAATACAAACATCTCAACACAGTTATTTTACAATTATCTGAATTGAAAATTTATATTAATATAATAAACCATAAAGCTAAGTTACTATGTAGTTGAGCAGTATTTATCAGAATGTAAACATTGTTTATGTCATTCCAAGATGAGCTGTCTTAACAATTCAAACAATTCAGTTGTAGTTAGACATTAACACCGTTGGATGCCAGCTCAGCGGTCTATCGGTTATGGGCTTCGGATCGAGACTGGTAGGTCCTGGGTTCGAATCTCGCTAGCGAGAGTGGGTTCGTGGATGCGCACTGCTGAGGAGTCCCATAATAAAACGAAACGGCCGTCCAGTGTTACCAGGTTTTCCATGGTGGTCTAGCTTCAATTGACTCACGCTTTCAACTATAATAGATACTAAATCTACATAAAGCCCCTTCTATAATTCAAAATAAGGAATTTGTTATCTGACCAAAGTAATTTAGTAGGTTATGGGATTAAAAGTGATTAAATGTAAAAATTTTAAGTATGCAGAGAAAGCTTGTGGAAGTTTCATTAAAATAATGTTATTGTTTGACATATCTGGTTTAGGAAATATTCACTGAACGGATCATTTACAAATGATGGATCACTGGGCAGTATCCAGAGTCATTTCTGTCGGGTCCTTCTAAGTGCATATTGAATTCTGTCGATTACCTTACGATATTGAGTTGCGTCAACTGCTCGGCACATTATAACTTGATCTATAGAATCCGATCTACACTTAGAAGGATCTGACACAAACAACTCCGGTCACTCTCCAGTGATCGATTAATTGTAAATGTGTCTCAGTCCTACAGGAGGTCAGACGCAGTCCGGGAAGCTAAGTGATGACTATGAAGTTGAGTGACATTGAACCGAATCCGTCGGGAGCATCAGTTCCTTCAAGAATACAGATACACCTTACTAATAAGCACCAATAGCACGAAGCCCAAGCCCATGGTTTTCTGTTAAATATCTCCAGCCACTACTTTACAACCGAACGGATCAGTTTGTTTCATATTCTTAGAATAATTTAAAATCTACCATTTTAAAGCGTATAAAAATATTTAATGAATGCACTCTGTAAGGGAACGTTTCATAAGATTATTTATCATTTACCACGTAAAACGTTAGTGTTAGCAGTTTTGTAAAGTAATTCGGACTGTATTTATAATTCATTATTTGCCTTCTCAATGAATTTGTTGCTAGTAAGTTCACTGTCAACTTAGATTGCTCTAATGTTGAATAAAGTATGTCAGTGACACTGTTAACATTGAATAAAAATATCTAACTCATAAGATATTTTTGGGCAGATATAGTGTTATCGTAATGAATATATAAATGAATGAGGAGCTCTATGCGTATGTTTATGAATACAATAGTTATCTTTATTTCTGTTCATAAGCTGACAGGAGAACTTCCTGTCTAAGCTTTGTAGGTGAATTTGGTAATGAATCTTCAAGTTATTCTAAATTTCCACGAATACAACTTGAAAAATATGATGTCTTGAAGGACCTGCCCATTCTGTTTATTTTGTAATGTTATGTATTATTTATTAACAGATAGTTAAAATTGTACATGGTCAAGATCACATTAGATATACCATTCATTATATTCCATATTGAAAGTTAAGCGTAATGTTAAGATATCATCTCAAGGTAACGAAGTATTTGTAACTGAATATAAGATGTCACTTTTGTTGGTGATACCAATGATAACTATTAGTAATATATATATTGTTGTGAATATTTCTGACTTATTTTCACTTAATGTCAGTCTTTTATTCAGAGTAAATGAGTAACAGAAGTAAATTAACTCAAGTTTAAATACAAGCTATGATGGATAGTGGCTAGCAGTGGAATCCAGTTTGACGCGAGTTTCGTCTTATTTCGTACTCTTCAGCTAGATCTACTTGCATCCAGTTTACATATACACAAAATTGTGTCTACAGGTTATGTTATGTCGATCGTGATTTACTCTACATTGAGAGTCTTCCTGTGAGGACTCGACAATGACAAGGAACATGTGAGTCGGAGAAAAAGACATAATAGTCCTGTAGAACTGAAAAATCTACAAGTCAAATGAGCAAAAGTAGTTCATGCTATTTTAAATAATCACCAAATTAATATTCAAAATACCACTCCATTGCATAAGAAGATATCTATCAGGACTCAGCAGCTTAGTGGAAAACGTGACGGCGTTCGAAGCGAGCGGTATTGGGTTCGGGCCTCAGAGTTAACATCAAGTTTGAGATACTAATACTCTTAGACCAATGAAACATTTAGCTCTCATCGTCCAATGTGGAGCCAGTTAATAAGTAAATCAAATCTTTCAAACTGAAAGGAGCATTATTTCACAAACTTCATTACCACATCAACAGTCCACTTCAGCTTGTTAAGGTTTATGGGACATTTCATTTAACGTAGTTGTGAGAATTGTATTACAACACAGACTCTTCAAATCATATTAATTATCCATGTACTACAAATTCAATGTGTTCATCTAAGACATTCATAATGCATGTGGTAAACCACCTAAAGTGTTCTAAGCATGAGTGATTAGTACATGTGATAGACACAAATCATGCTTATTAAATATATAAGAGTGCTTCCTGGAAGCACTAGTAAGTACGAATTTTATTCCCCAAACAGTGTCAAATATATAAATAAATTATATATTTGTAATATCCCAATGAGTAGAAAAATTAGATTTTTTCTGACCAAATTAATTTGGTTATTTATTCTCTGAAGAAGTGGCTTACACTGAGTCGCGAAACGTCAGAAAAAATCTAATTTTTTTACTCATTGGGATATTACAAATATATAATTTATTTATAACAATCTACCCAATGCTCAATTTATTCAAAATTATCAAATCAAGTCTTGGTAATGATATCTACAGTGTCAAATATAGTACAAAAATCTCATGTATTTATAGTTTTTGGCTGAAAGTAAATCATTATTAGTCAGTA